AGGGGGGAGTGTGCGAGGGGTTGATAAAGTTAAAGGGGGTGGCGGCGCAAGCAATGACTCACCACCACCAGATCGCGCGCCAAAAAAGGACAGGAAAGTTCGTATTTGAAACATTTCAAACACAACAACGAGTTAAGTAACTAATAAGATTTATTTTAGGAATAAAGATTAATACACCGTCCCACCTGCGCTTTATTGTCAACTTCATTTTAAACTTTGCCAGAGAAGCGATGAAACTTCTTGTAAGAATCATGAAGTGTTTTAAATATTTCGTTGGAAGCAGATGACATACTTCGAAGGAGGAACTTGATGGCATAGTCGTCAACAATGCTAAGAATAGCATAAGCCATGTTTTGAAAATGAACCTGAAAGAAAGAATACAATGCATAAATACTGCAAGTTAATTGCTAACGGTTTTGAGATGGAAAAAATATGGAATCAAACGTCATACCTTTACAGTTGAGCACAGAGTAATAGTCTCAAATATAGTCATGATGTCTGCAAGAAAATAAGCAGCAACCCTTCGGAAAGATTTCTTGCGTTCAGGTTTTGTTAAAGCATACAGCAACCTAAAAAAAAATAAGTTACAAAAAAGTCAAGAATTTTCTCAACACTGGAGTAACCATCTAAATATCAAATTGTAAATTACTTCTCAACGCCGAAGGCAAGACCCGCAAGTTGTGCACCATCAGAACGAGACAGTTCTGATGTTTGCTTGCTATGATTAGCCAACTGTTTCACAAAATACTGTAACATTTGCATGAAACTTGGAATACAGTCTAAAGTATGAGAAGACCTGTGTAATAACAGTGCTGATAGCACTGACAAGAATTGTGTAGCAAGAAGTATAAAATCCTTTGTTGCTTGGGGCAGAGAAACTTCATGCAACACAGAAATGCACTGATCAATCATTTCCATATCCATTGCCACCTATAACACAAAAATACATAAAGAAAAAAAGTTCTTGTGTGAGAAAGAAATAGAAAAGAAAAAACATATGGTATTAGATTGGATTCAAACCTTGGATGATGACAGAACAGCCTGTAAAAATTCTAGTAGCTGTTGTTGTCGAAGATCAATGAATGGCAATCGCTCAAAAACTGTCCGCAGGGCTTTCAAGCATACTTCATTATTAGCAGCAGGTAAGTTATGGCACTTAAGTAATATAAGCCAGAATAGCATCACATCAGGTGAAGCCTTTTCTTCTTCAGCAACAGCTACAGTTTTCTCCTAGATAGAATAACAACAATAATAATAAATAACAGGTTGTTTTGAAATTGATCTAACTTTGATGAAAGGCAGAAAAGAACCAAAACAATACTTACCACTTTATGTAAGAGGTCATTGACAATAAATGCCATTTCCTCTTGAGAAGCAGATTCAAATATGGCAGTTACAAGCACTTCACTTGGTTTAACAGAAGAAGATAAAAGCAACCAAACATCGTTGAGAAGAGAAGTAGGTAAAGATTCATTCAATTTGTTGCGATTTCTAAAAACTACTAACAGTAAAGTTTCTGCTGCCTTTTGCTCAGATATTTGATTGCTAACAAGAAAAGAAACCTAAGAGGAAAAGAAAGTGGCATTCAATTCCCAAACAAAATCAAAATACAGTTAAATTTCGATTTTCTAATTGTGATTTAGTTGATTTATTCACATAAATGATACTCACAGCACTAGAGCAAAAACTTTCAAGGTGTTCCACAATGGTGTCAATTCCTTTTCCAAATTTGATATTAAAGTCTAGAGTTAAAGCAAATGCATGAAGTGCCTCTTGAGGACTAACAAGCTTATTTTGAATCAGAGCTTCAAATGATTTAGCTAACTTCTTCCTTGCTTTTTTCAGAACTTCCACAGGGTCACTAGGGGACTGAATAAATGATTTAATTATATTCAGATCAATATGAAAATAGATTCAAAATTAGGATTGGCAATTAAATTAAGTTCATACCTCTTCATCATTTTCTAAGGTTTTCTGAGGCCGCACCTAAAAGATTAGTTCAAAACAGTTTTTTAATAATCTACTCCGCAAAGATTATTCAGATATCTTTGAGTTTTAAAATAAATCCACACACACAAACAAAAAAAAGTTACTCACATTTTTTAACTTTTTTTCACAGAGATTTTGCATTATGAGACTACCAACCAGAAGATTTTCTTTTCCAGGCTCATTAACCTTGCCTTTCTTCTTAAGTAGAGCCACCTTTTCGAGGACCTGTTCCTGCGTTTGTTCATGACGCAGGGCATGCCCAAGCACCAGTTCCAACAGGCGTCTACCCACACTGTGATTAACAACAAAATGTGCCAAGCCACTAATTAGAACTCCATAATCCAAATGTCCAGCAAAATCTGGGCTAACCCGCATTCCTCTCTCATATAAACCTGTTTGATGAAGCAAAGCATTATGATTGATTGATAATTAAATTTTAAAGTTAGATTAAAATTTAAATGAATTTAATTAAAACTAAACTCAATATCATAGAATACTAGTAAAAAAAAACACTTACCTAGAAGTAGGTGATCAAATATTAGCTTCATTATTTCATCCTTAACATGAGATGAGGGAAGAGAGGAACAATCAAGAGCGATACTGAGCAAAGAAATGAAAAGAACAGCCTGGTGGCTCGGTGATAAATAGGCCAGAGGCAGGGACCGCATCAGTTGAAGGTGAACTGACACACTAGACAAGTCATACTCCTCTTTTATTGTGGAAACTTCTGAAAAGTAGGTTGGGAAACATGCATTGCTTAAGTATAATCACAGGTTTGATTAAACTTATCTACACAGCATATAATAAAAAACTAACCATTCATATCAATAAGAGCTTTCTCCATTATGTTTGCTATGGAGGATATGAAAAGGTTTAATTCTTCCTTAGAGTTAGGCAGTTCTTGAACCTCTGCTTGGATTATCAATTCTGTATCAAGTGCTCCTAAGACACTTTTAGAAATCTTCCACATTTTGCCTCCCATTTCATCTCTCTTACGCTTGGAAACCTTCAAACATCTTTTCAAACTTGTCATTGTAGAGCAAATCAGTCCACAAGCAACCAATCTGAAATATTTATTTAAAAATAAGCTATCCGTGTCAATTATTGAATGAGGAAACAGGGTGGATTCAGTAAATTATTTTCTTACCTTTCTTCAACTAACAATGTGATTAGGTTAGATAATAAACTCTCATTTTTACAGCCGATGAGACAAGAAGCTATACTGTCTGATAGGGCAACAAGGTCAGAAACACTAAGCAAGGGAGACATTAGGATTATGTCAGAGACAGTGCATCGATCAAGCATTGCACTATTAACAGCACCAAGTTTCCCGACAAGCAGTTCACAAGCTCGCTTTGCCACTTCTTTCGGTTTAGATGATTGAGACGCATCAAACATTCTAAGAGCTGACAACAGTTGAAGATCCAGCTTAAGCTGTAGTAAAAGAAGAAGTTCTTACTACATTATACAGGCACCATTTTAAATAAATTACTAAACTTTGTGAGACATTAGAGAAATAAAGCCATACCAGCAGTTCTTTGCAGTTTTCATCTGCACTCTGAAGAGCTAGATCATATATTTTACTCCATTCTTCACTCGTCAAGTAAGGATGCAGATACGATAAGATACCCCCACCAGAGATATTTTTAGTTCCTTCATTTAGATTAGTCTCTACCGAAGCCAATAGATCCTCTCGGCCGATATCAGCATATTGTTGGATCAGTAACGCTTCTGCAGCCCAGTGGTATGAAATTTTAAGGAAAGTGCACAACATAGCTAAATTCTGAAAATTAAAATTGATTTGTTTGTAAAATAAATTAAACTGTGAAATAGCACTAGGAAAAATGGATCTGATACATACCGGTGATTTGCCTTTCAGTAGTAAGCGTCCAAATGAGCTATGATGTTCTTTCAACTGTTTCATAAAATTGCAGTAACCTTGGCGGGCAGGGAAGATGGTACATTGTTCCAACAATCTGACCCCACTCAAAAAGGAGCAGAGAAGTTCACAAACACATTGCAAGAACAAGTCAATGTAGCCACCTATAATGTTTCAATCAAATTAACTATGTTATCAGAAAAACTAAATAAGATAAGACAATTATTAACAGATAGATAAATTCACAAAACTCACTTTTAGAAAATTCAATTCCTTGCGAAGATTGAAGGTAAGGCTGAACACCAACACTATTAAATTGTTCCAAAAAAATAGACAAGGTAGCAATTGAGGATGTGGATGGCATAGTGGTAGCAAATTGAGTTAGCTGTTCTGTTACATTGGCTGGAAGCCAGACTCCTGGATTCATGTTGAGAATATTTGATTCATCTTGATTTTTAAACCCATCCTGGAAATATTTTAAAATTTTAAGCTCTACTCATAAATATACATAAACATAGCAGTTACTGATGTACAAAACAGAGACTAACATGAAGGGATGTCAGGAATATTGTTGTGAAATTGGGAATGCGATTCAATTTCATGTACATGCCAAGGAGATTGGATATAAAAGTTTTGTAGATAGGCTCCTCTTCATCAGTAAGTGGTTTTTCTGTGATTGCTGCCAAAATATTTTTCACATTTGATTCAACTATCATAGGGTTAAGTTTAATAAGTGTTGACATTAGTTCTAGGAAAGAACTTCCAGCTGGAAGACGTGAAGGGCAAGGAAATAAGCTTTCCACAACCATCTGGAACAAAAATAGAAAGTACAGTATTGAATTCTGAGGTGCTCTTTCATCTCAATTTTAGCTCATCTTGAAGAGCTAATGTTTTACACTACCTGGAGCCAGTTGAGAAAACTTGAACCATATATTTCCCCATTCAGAGGAATTTTCCACTGTACTAAAACGAGTGCCATAGCATGGAGTGTGTTCAATGACAATGCTGACAAATCTTTTTCAGCCTTTGTAACAGATTCATTCAGCCTTCCATAGAGACCATGACACTTTGGATTCTTCACATGAAAGCCAACTACATATGACAGTGTTACAGTCATTTTAAAAATCAATGGGTCAGGATTACTCTTTTGGCTTGCCGCAAAAGCCCGAAAAACAGTGCTGACTAAGCTGACAAACAGATCCTCATCAAGTAAATCCCTGGCCTCTCTTAACACTTCAAGTAATCTGAATGGGATCTGATGTTGGTCTATAGATAAAGGTAAATTTGCTGTTGGATCGGCCACTTTTTTTGATTCTTTAAAAACTTCATTGAGAAAATGTGGAAATTCAGAGGATGCCTTAGGAAAAAGAACCTGAAATCAAGTTTGAACCGTTTCAGTAAGCTAGTTCATGGAAAGAATCCAGCAATAGCAGAAAAAGTGTAGAGCAAGAGACCTGTTGGATACATTTGTAGATTTCTGTTGTCAAGGGAGATGGCTGACTGCCTTGGGATTTCAGCAATTTTATCAATGGCATCAAGACAACATTTAAAAATGTTAGACACAATTCATTTCTTAGTATTGTTTGCCTGAAACAAATTGGGAAAGAGATGATTCTGTGAATCCAACAATTTAATGAAATAAGATGAAGCAGTATGGTAAAAATAAGGGAAAAGGAAATACCTGCTGATAGCCTGAATGGTAGACACGCCTCTAACACACAGTGTAATTTGTTCAGGACCAAGGTGAGACAAGGAGCCAAGTATATGGCTCACAAAATTAAAGCATAAAGAAATATTGGTGCGAAAATACCTCTGAAAGCTACTAGCCTCCAAAACAGAGATAGCACATTCTAATAAGGATATGTGGTCAGCTGGTGGTGAATCTTTCTCCAAATGTTTTGATAATGCCTATTTAAACAAATTAACATTAGAAAATATAAAATCAAGCATAAAACCTAATTTTTTTTTTTTTTTAAAGTTTCTTACCTTCACTATATTGGCTTTTGCACTTGGTCGGATGTCAGAAACTCCAAGTCTCTGCATGTGAGAACTTGCAATACATGTTTGGAGGGTGGACCACAACTTCTGAACATCATCGTCAGAACCAACAACACTATCTCGTTTGCTTTTCTTCTTATACTTTCCAGCAATTTTGCAAAACCAATTGATGACAGCTTCCTCTTTTCTTTGAACTGGGAGCTGAGACGATTGAAATGCGTTCTGGGCCAAACATAATCGTTTGGCCAATGGTTCTCCATCGCTGTCTAATCTTTTCAATAGCTCTGATGGAAATACTTTCAATATTACACTCAAACAATCACGAAAAAAGTTAAAAGCACATGCCTTGCAGAGGTTAAGCGAAAGTACGGTTCAGGAAAACAACAAAAACTTGAACTTCACTTTATACTTGATCTTTTAGAGATAAAAGAATTTAAACTGGTAGAATATTTTATGAAAATGAAGCACTGAACCAAGTTCGAAAACTGTTCTTTAAACAAATTTGAACACAAACCTGTTGTTCCAGCCATGCTAGCAGAGGTTAGATGTAAACACCTTCACAATATGAGAAATATGTTTTTACGGAATGAAACTATAATTTTTCATATCAATACCATAGCCTCAATAAAGGCCCCTCAGCTCAGCTCTGAAAAGGAGAAGGGGGGGGGGGTAGGTAGGGGGCGCGGGGCGGGGGGGCGAAGGGGTGAAGGGGTGTGTTTGGATGGAAGGGGGAGGAGGTGATATACGTCACATGACAGGATTTGTTCGAAGCTATTGAAAATAAGCGAAAAGATCAAAACATTCGGAAGAAAATCTTCACAAATTGTGGAGGGTGGAGTGGTGGAGCTGTAAGTACCTCTATTGTGTAAAGGAAGGTTTTTCGGTTGAGTACGCTGTTCATATTGTAATACGAACATGACAAAGTTTATTTACTTGGTCGGTTTTGTACAATCCCCTTTCGGCTACTGCCTTCTGATTCTCACATCATTATAAGTAGAACTCAGGTATTCAAACAAAATTGAGTTCTTCTTTCTTACCATGGAGAACTTGGAAGGATAGCAGTAGATTTGCTCCTTAACATTCATTTGCCGCTTTCCCATTATTGTAGCGCCAAGATGCCTCTTTTCAGACAGAGAGGTTACTATATTAAGTCAGTAAGGTGGTTTCTACTATTTTATTGTATTCAGCTTGTGTATTTTCCCTTTGACTGTTAGGATAGCTCTCCTTATTTGAATCCATGCCATATATCATTGTAAGGGGTAACCTTGCATCATATGATAATCGGTATCCGTGGCGTGTCCTTGTGTCTGGTTTGAAGGGTGAGCCTTTTGGTCCTGCAGTTTGATGTTATTGTGAAAATATAATTTTCTTCTCTTATTTGAAAATTTGTTTTCCTTCGTAGCGGGCGATATTGAACAACTCAGTCGCTTTGCTTCAGGAGGATACTGTGACGACAGTACCATTGTTTATCTTCAACATCCTTGTGTTATTCTGTCAGCGTTGGAAGTACTTGGTTACCAAGTAGTTGCATCATCCTCTACCTCAGTGAAACAAGATTATAATGAGTATATGTGGACTATGAGGAAAGATTTTTCAGAGCCAGAACCAGTGCCTGCACCAATTACTCCAAAACCAAGTAAACATTTTTATTCCCTATGAATTCTTTTTATTAGTGATTATCAGTGAGGTTTATTTTTAAAACGCAAATTTTGATATTTAGGCACTTGAGTAGACGTTTTTCTGCTCATTTGAAACATTGTCATGGCAAGTTCATTTTACTACGTGGCTATCAAGGGTGCCCTAGCTTCTTCTGACTGTGATGCGTTTGGTTTGGATCCTGAAGAAATCTCAGCATTGACTAAGCGATTTCCTAATTCTAAAGCAGTTGTGACCAATGGTCTATCCATCAAAGGTGATGATATTTATAGAAAATTATAAGTTATGGTGCAGGGTGCATATTGCATAATAAATAGTTATAACAATGTATTTTTTCTTATCGTTTTGCAGGGCCACCTTTAACAGTGATAAACACCCTGTGTCAGCTCGGATACAAAGTTGTGTCGTCCACTGGTGAGATTGAAATTACGTGGACTCTTCAGAGAGAAACCAGCGCATGTGAGTGTTTGATGCCTCTGTCTTCACCTGTACGGGGGCCCTTGCATGGTTCAATACTTCTGCAAGAATCTATTGCATAGCTTGAAACAAGTATTCATTATAATAACCTAATTTGAAACGGTCAGTTTAATCAATTTAAATACGTACATAGTTCATTATAGTTTAGCTACGTGTATACATACATTAGTCAGCAGGTAGCTTATCTTGATTTACTTTTGTTGTAGCTATGCTTTCTTAGAAAGAGCAGTATGTTTATACAAACTATACTAACATGAGATGGGGCATTTGTATAGAGTGTAGTAGAAACATTGAAATCTGGACATGTGAAATTTAGCATAGTCATGTTGAGTTGCTCTAATTGCCAAGTTCCCTCCTACATATTTAGTTGTCTATGCATTAGTCTTGAACCCTTCAGCATATTAGGTTGTCTTGTTTCTATTTTGTTTCTTTATTGTAAGACCTGCTCCCCTATATTTATGTTTCAGCAGAGGTTGTCCTGTAGAGCTGCATAGATTTGAAGACTGCTCCAGTTCAATTACTTAAGACTTCACTTGACTTTATGCATTTTTCATACTTCAAATCTTTACTAGTATTTTAATTCACACTTTTATTTGTCCCGCTTCCACCACATCCAATTGGTGTGATACATATTTTGGAATGTGCAGCTCATAAGAGTTTAAAGGTCTGTACAAACATCTGTTTTTATGTTTAAATAAGCTACTTAAATTTCGCAGGACATACAGTATATTCATGTTTACAATTGTGTTACAGAAACCTCAAAATGTGTGATCATGATCATTCATCAGCATCAAGCAATCCCAGTGTACACCAGACTTTTGATGAATTAGAATTTGATAGAAGCTTGGGCAACGCTGGTTAGTGTTGTTTTGTTTGTTATTTGAGTCTATTTTTCATCGTTATTTAAAAATATTTATGTATGTTATCTAAAATCTCTCCGTTTGTCTAGCGTTGTGTGGAGAGGTTGATAAAGTTGTAGAACACCTACGCAAAGGGACCAATGTGAATTCTCTTGATGCTGGAGGGTATGCACCAATCCACTATGCTGCAAGGCAAGGCCATATCAACATTGCAAGGTTGTTGCTAAGCCATGGAGGAGACGTCAACATTCAAACAAGATCTGGTAGAGCAACAGCTCTTCTGCGAGCAGCCTTCTCTGGAAAAAAAGAAATGTGTCAGTTTCTCATAGAAAAAGGAGCTGATGTCAAAGCAGTTGATGATGATGGACAAACAGTTCTTCACAGAGCAGTGAAATCAGGTCATTTGCCCCTAGTAAACTATATTCTTGAAATTGCACCAGAACTCAAAACTCAAGCAGATAAGAGAGGACTTGTACCAATGATTGGAGACTTGTAAACGCCTCAGAATCTTTACTTACTTTGTTTTTAAAGCTCACAAATAATACTAATGATTCAGTGAATTTCAATTTACCATAAACTTAAAGAAAGCAAAATAGTTTCCCTTTTATTTTCATAAATGGTAATAGAGAATAGGACTGATATGTCAGAGTGTAGAATGGTGCTGAATTCATATTCATTAGTTTAATTCAATTTTTTAGGGACAAAAATTATTTGCATGAAATTTGGGAAAGTGGAAACTTGACTTTCAAAGTGATTTACTTTTCCACTTTTGCAGCCCAATCAGCCGGCAGCCGGCTTTCACTCTCATTGCTTATCGTCTTTGGCATATTTTGTATCTTCTAAAATGCTTAAGCACCAATTTTCACTCATGTAGTTAATTTAGTTAAGTGCCATGTTTGAACAGTATTTGTTGTATATTTTTATTGGTCTGAATTGTTTTTGTTATTTTCATTACTGAAAAACTTTGTTTTCTTTTCCCCCTGTTTTTACCACCTATGTTTAATTTATTTGATCTTAGTGCCATTCCTTATCTGCATTTGCAATTCATTCATACAATTCAATTAATCATATCTCCAATGGATTTTTGTTATGCTTCCATATTAAGTGGCAGGCAAATAATGATAATTATTATTCCATTTATTGCAATTGTATCACAATTATTGAAAAAATAAGAAGCCTTTATACATTTTGAATTGTTACTAACAGTTGAATCATATGTAATTGTCCAATGATGCTACACTTTTGGTGTTTATTTTTTTTCTCCTGTTGCTTAATCTTGAGCTTGAGAGACTGTTTCCTACACTGTAAATTATATGTATACTTTTACATCACATTCTGTAAGGTCCATATATATATATATCAGAAACCTATCACAATATCTCTAGCTTAAGCACAATTTTGCCTTCTCCATGTTAATATACGTGGTAGCTCATTCGGTTCAGCTGATGATGTGAAGACATTAAATCCTACACACAATGATATTGGTCACTTTGATTCTTTCACCCCCCCCCTCCCTGGATTAGCCGGATCAGCCGCCCCGAGCCAACAATTCCGTTACGCCCCACACCTGTCTGGCCGATCATCCCCGGGCCGTTCTGTTGGATACGGTGGAAGGCGGAGCTTGTACGGCTGAGATCACTCCTACGACGTTCCCACGATAGGCCATGGTGGGCGCGACGGCGCAGCAGAAGCTGCTGCAGCTGCAGACCGAGGTGGACACTGACGAGGACTGGGCCGGCGGCGTGCTGACCAAGCCCGGCCTCAGCGTCGTGGACGTGTGGCCGGACTGGGCGGGGCCCTGCGTGGCCATGCGCAGCAAGCTCATCAGGTGAGCCCTCCTCTATCGCCGGTGTCGACGACCACCCCGGCTGAAGCTTACCCCCCCCCCCCCGCCCCTTTCAGGTTCAAGCTGACGGAGGGCGGTGACAACGTGCACCTGTTCTCCGCCAACGCGTCCGCCATCGAGGCGCTGTCCCGCTTCCGGGAGCACTCGGAGCCGACGTGGCTGCTGTTCGGCAGCGGACACCTGGTGTGCGTGTACATCGGCTGCGACTGTCCGCACCTGCTCAGGCTGGTGAGACGCCCCACCGGTAGCCGATGACGTCCACTTTGGAAATTCACAAAATTCGTCGAAATTCATTAAAATTAACCGGGAATGCAAGCTTGATATTTCGTAAAGTTCGACCAAAATTTCAGAAAATTAACCATAGTTCTTGAAATTTAATCAAAATTATATGAAATTCGAGCCGGTGAGTTAGGCAGGCACTCGCGACCCCGGCCGCAGGTGGAGCGCGAGATGCTCAAGGAGCAGCGGGTGCTGCGCGGCGAGGCGCGGCGCAGGGTGCTGTCCGTGGACAAGACGACGCCGGCCGAGAAGCAGCGCCAGGACGCGCAGCGCGCCCGGGACAACCTGGCGCGCCAGGAGGAGAAGGACCGCACGGACGCGGCCTGGAGGGACATCCGCATGCGGCAGTACCGGCGGCTGGCGGACGCGCTGCCCAACCACACCGTGGTGCTGTTCCTGCCGCACGCCCTGGAGCAGGGCGGGCTGCCCCCAGGGCTGCCCGAGGTGGCGCTTCCGCTCCTAGACGCGTGGCGCGCCATGGGCGTGCACGTGCTGCAGTCGCGCCGCGTGGCCGTGAGCGCCGAGATGGCGGACGAGCTGTTCTGGGAGCGGCGCCTGCCGCAGCACGCCGCGCTCGTCGAGAGCCTGCAGGCCGCCGCCGGCCTCTGCGTCGCGCTGCTGCTGCGCAAGGGCCGCCCGCCCGCCGAGGCGGACGAGGACGCCGAGGACGAGGACGCCGGCGGCCAGGGCGACGCGCCCAGGATGCCCGGCGGCGAGGACGACGACGACGACGAGGACCTGATGCGGCCGGGGCTGCTCGAGCGGCTCGTGGCCGAGACCGTGTACGGCTTCTTCCCCGGCTCGGCCAGCACCTCGGCGCGCAACGACTCGCTGTCCGAGTTCTTCTCGCCGGTGGGCGGCGGCAGCCCGAGTCCCGGCGGCAGCCCCCTCGGCGACAACCTCCCGGCCGGCACGCCGGGCACGCCTCTGCCGCAGGCCTCGCCGCCGCTGCAGACCTCGCCCCTGCTCTCGGCCATGTCCACGGCCTCGGCCGGCCAGTACCGCCGCAGCACGGCCAGCTGGGTGCGGCAGAGCACGCTCAACCTCGGGCCCGACCCGGGCGACGCCGACCCCGAGGAGTGGGACGACCACGACGAGTACGAGGGCAGCCCGTCTAACGGCAGCCAGGTGAGGGACCACACGTGTGCGTTGCAGCGAGTCCGAGGGTTTACTATAACGAAGGATAAAATTCGCGATCGCTCAAATCAGGATTCATAGCGCGGAGTTTTAATTTGCCGTGGGTATCGCGGAGAGCCCCTGGGGGATAGGCAGGTCGCCGCCGTGCGACGCAGCGCGCCGGGGCGGGTAGCCTACCCTGCGGTCCGCAGGGGCTCGGTGTCCGCGTGACGCTGGCTCATGCGTGTTGTGCGCGCCGCGCGCAGTCCTGGCCCAAGGAGCTGCGGCCCGTGGTGGACAGCGTGGCGGCCGCGCTGCTGCGCCGCGTGTCAAGCCTCAGGACGAGCTTCGTGCTGCCCGGGGTGTGGACGCCGCTCACGTCGCTGAGCAAGGCGGCCGCCCTGCGGGTCCTGTTCGGCGGCCTCGCCATGCAGCACTACGAGCCGGAGGAGCTGCCGCCCGAGCCGTCCCCGGTCGCCGTCATCGCCTTCCGGGCGAGCAAGCGCGGCCCCATCCTGGAGGCGGCCGCCAACTTCCTGCGCGACGTCGTGTACCTGGGCTTCTTCACGGAGGACAGGAAGCTGCTGGCCGAGGCGCCGGCCGAGTACGACGTCCTGGCGTACAAGGTAAGTGCCGCGACCCGGGTGGGCCGTCCGCCATCCGTGTCCTCCTCGCGCTCCGTGTACATCGCGGTGCTCGGCCGCAGGAGCCCCGGGACCGCCTGGTGCTCGGGCTGTCGCAGCGGAGCGAGGAGCCGCTGCTGGAGCTGGCCACCTTCGGCCCGCTGTACCTCAGCCCCACCCCCAGGCTGGCCGCCAAGGACGTCGAGGAGTTCTTCACGGGCAACGTGCAGCGCGCGCCGCCCCGGCTCGAGGGCCACGGCGAGGTGGACGCGGAGGGCGAGACCGAGGGCCTCTTCATGTACTCCAGGATCCAGCAGGCCGCCCGCCAGCAGGCCGCCGCCAGGCCCCCGGAGCCGCCCCAGCGGGCGGGGTAAGGAGCCGAAACAGGCCAACTCACAACTCACTGTTTATGATATCTATACTCTACAACATTTGCGTTTGCAGTGCTTCCCCTGGCCAGGCGGTCCCACCACCGCCTCCGATGCGGCCCCCAGGACCTCCACCGACACAAGCCGCGCCTGCTCCTCCGGAGCCGAGGCCGTCGGGGACGAGGCTGTCGGCGCACGACGGCGGCGGCCTCGGCCCCAGGCGCCCGTCGGCGGGAGGCTCCAGGGAAGGCCAGCTGCCCACTGTGCTGGAGGACCCCGTGGGCGAGCCGCACGTCGTGGAGCTGAAGCCGGCGTCGTCCGCCACCTCGACGATCAGGAGGAACAGGTCGCTGCACAGCATCGCGTCCAAGTCCGTGCACAGCTTGGGGGTCAAGTCCGTGCACAGCCTGGGGACCAAGTCCGTGCACAGCCTGGGGGCCAAGTCCGTGCACAGCCTGCGGGCCAAGTCCGTGCACAGCCTGGGGGCCAAGTCCGTGCACAGCCTGGCGAGCCTCGCGTCCAGAGCGTCCAGGATCTCCGTGGTGCGGCTACCCTCGGGTTCGACCCAAGGAATCCAAACAACGGTCTCCAGGACGGTCCTGGCCGCGGAGAGAGCGGTGCTCCCTCCGGAGGCGAGGGAGGAGGGGGACTCGGACCATTTCGAGTCCGCGGTGGGCTCCAACCGGGAGCAGGCCTCGGACACGACCCTGGTGCCGGCCGTGGCCGAGGATACGTGAATCGTCGTGTAGTGCTCAAACTATGTCATTTTACATATGTCAGTATGTACTTGTGGAAGTTTGGGTTGTGCCTTTTAGTGATGGCAGGAACGTAGTTGTAATTGTGTGCATTTCTTTTAATGTATTCATAAATACGAGAAAAAAATATGTAATTACTTACGCACCATGCAATGCAGTGTGCGATCACAGATGAATGTGCAGCGCAGAAATAGATTTACTAACGTTTTATAATGCCAATAGTTTCGATAACCTAGGAGCTGCGCTGATGTGTTAGTATTTAACGATTAAAGCGGAGAATACATTTTCCAACAAACTTAAGTTCCCCATTTTTAAATTCCCGCCTCAGCATCAGTTTCGCACAATAAGCAGACTACTGCGGTAGAAATACCAAATATTTATCGTAATTTTTTCAAAATAATAGACTGGTGCTTGGACTAGAAAATGACTGAAAGTGGCAATTGAGTGCAGTGAGGTCCTTGACTGAGTTAGTTACGTGGCTCTGATATGTTACTCACAGAAGCTGTAGCGAATTTTTCATACGTCAGTACGTTAAAATTTCGCATATTATCGTTCATGGCGCCAAACCTCAACCGTCAACCTTTCCATCTCTCTCCCTCTGTTGTCTCTTCTTTTATTTGTTTCGTTTTTATTCCGTTTCACAAACTCGCTTAGAAGTAGAAGTCGGTCGGCAGTCGGCACACTCAACATTAAAACTGATCTATACGTACGTGAAAGAATCAGGCAGGCCTGTCATGATTGGAGGCAAATGGCATAAATAAAATATTTTATTACTGATGATCCTTCAAAATTGTATTTGATCATGATGGGTTCTTTCATACCATTCATTCAGCACCTCAAAGAAATTTGCCTACTTCATGCTCAAACTGTAAGTAAAGTTGATTGTGTACCCGCAGATTAGCTTTGCTGTTATAACTAACGTAATACCTTTTGCTGCCCCCAACTAAGAGATTGGATATTGAGCAAAGATTGGTTTAATTTGAGTCATCACTGCAAAACCATAACTTTTATCAGATTTGTGGATTTTGACGTAATTTGGCTGTGATTGCAGTTATGTCACATAATATGACCAATTCTTGATGAATCTCAGTAACTTGTCCCAGCCGGAAATGCTGTTTATCAATGTCGACATTGAATCAATAACATTGATCTGGCCATTATGTGGTCCAAAATTCAATGTAACTCAGAATTTGACATTGATTTAATGTTGAGTCGACTTTCAATTTCTGGCTGGATGGGTATACTTTCACCTTGTATTCCTTTTCTCCCCATTCAAAGTACAAACCAAACTAGTTATTATTTTTGTGTTTACAGATAACTACAAACAGTCTTGTATGTGACAGAACATCTGAAGACCTGACAGGTGTAACTCCCAATGAATATTTAGTCTTTGAAAAGAGAGAAATTCAGACTAGCCATTTGAAATCTCTAAGTTGCGATGTAACCAAATGCTGTGGACAGGCCTTTAAAACTTTGGCTTGTTTAAGAGAACACAATGAGACTATGGATCATCGGGGTCTAAAAGTGTGCAAGTTTTGTCATGAGCATTTTAAGAAAGAGGACTTATTGAAACACAAGATTGTAGTACACAAGGAAGTTGGAGAAAAATGGAAGTGTGAGGTAAAAGTAGAAGTAAATTTTGATCCAACACTGTTTAAATTTTAATTGCTTTCAATTTTTTTCCCACAGTTATGTAATAAACTTAACTTTTCTAAATGGAGTCTGATGGTGCACATAAACTATCATCACTTGAGGAAGGAAAATACATACAAATGTGGCATTTGTGCTTTAACCTTTCATTGTAGCATTAGTTATGAAAAGCATCTTAAGAAACATAAAATAAGCAAACCAAAGCGTACTATTTTCCCGATTAAATGTTGTGGTAAAATATTTTACAATCAAACATATTATCACCACTTAAAGTCTTTGAGTCATCAGGGCTTAGTGGCCTGTAGAAAATGCAAGATAGTAGTTAAAAAAGAAGCATTAATCAAACACAATGCTGAAATACACCAGTGTGAAGGGAAAAGGACATGTGAGGTAAGCAGGCTTGATATTACTGTCATTTTGTCTTACCCAGTGATTTGTACTTGAGTTTTTTTTATTTTCTGACAGGATTGTAACAAATATTTTAGAACTAGGGATTCTTATGTAAGACACAGAAAAAACATTCACAGCGAGAATGTTCACAAATGCAGTGTTTGTGCTTCAATCTTTTACAATAAAGAAAGTTATGAGAAGCATTGTGAAACTCACAGCAGCATTCCTGTTGAATTGCCCAAAGGATTGTTTAAGTGCTGTGGGATGGTTTTAACCAAGGCTAACTATACACAACATGTTAACTCTTTGACTCACCAGGGTCTAGCAAGTTGCAGAGTTTGCTTTCAAGTTTTTAGGAAAGGTGACCTTGTAAAACACAAGGCAGAGGTGCACCGAGAATTTGAAGGCAAATTGGAATGTGAGGTAGGCAGACTATTTATTACAGTTGACTTATTTTTTATCTTACCGGTACTTCTCAACTTGGTATTGAATTTATGTTTTTCCTTGCAGGATTGCAAAAAATATTTTAAAACTAAAGAAGGTTTTATAACTCACAGAGAACAAAATCACAGCGAAAATGTTTACAGATGTAGTGTTTGTCCTTCAATCTCTTACAGTAGAGACAGTTATGAGAAGCATTGTGAAACTCACAGAAACAATTCAGAAATAACAACAGATCCCACTAAATTGCTGAAAGGACTGGTTCAATGCTGTGGAAAGGTGTTCCCCAAAGCTAATTATCAACCGCACCTTAGGACTTTGGCTCACCAGGGTCTTGTGACTTGTGGACTTTGCCACAAAGTCTTTAAGAAAGAAGTTCTAGTAAAACACAGGGCTGATGTACACCAGGAGATAGAAAAAAAATGGAAGTGTAAGGTAAGGCAAATGTTTTCATCGACTTTAATTGGTTTTATTTGTGTTTTAATTTTACATGCTCAGATTTATTTAAATTTGGTGAGTTTTATATCACAATATTACTTCTTTCTCAGGTTTGTAATAAATTATTTTCCTATAGAAAATCCCTAAACGCTCATTTACAATCATCTCATCAGGACCTGCCTGCTCAGGCATATTTATGCCAAATTTGTGGGAAAATGTTTATTTCCTATGCAAAAAGAGAGCAGCATTACAAAAAAATGCATCTAGGTGCTAATAAACAAGGAAAAACAACAACAGCATAGCTTGAGTGTAAGTTAATCTAACATTCTCGATTATAGAGCTGTGTTGCAGTTTGCAATCCAATTTACTAACAGTCCTACTGTTCTATGGGATTTTATTCTACTCTGTATGCATTTTGCAGTAAGAAAACAGTTTATTCTTTAATTTTTTGTTCTTAAATATTTATTTGAAGTGCATGATATGAGTTTGAGGAACAATCTGTCTTATACAAAACTCATGATAACATCAAATGAAGTTTCATACAATGCTAGGATGTAATCCACACCGGGCCTTGTGCTGCTGGCCTTTGAGTCTAAGTTTAAAATACACAAATGTGAAATAAATTTTTTTTAAATTGTTATTTTTTGTTGAATTTTTTTTCATTTTTCTCACATTATTTACAACATTGAGACTCAAAAATGCAATTGGTAGATTGTATAGTAATGGGGAAGAAGTGCAAAAAAAAAATACTTACGAAAGCGTGGTGAGGTTCAACAGAGAATGTGAGAGATAGTCGTGAGTTGACCTATGACATTTCTCTCATCTTCATCTTCTCAGACCACCTGAAGGAGCAACACCTTGAGCTGCCAGAAAGCTTGTTGATGGTAGCATCTGAAAACAAATAGACAAACATTATTGTCGTAATCAAAATTAATTAAGGATGTAGATGGACTATAGGCTACACCAAAAACTCAAACAAGGGGATGTACGTCAAGGCTATACTCCCCTCACTGGATGGGAACAGAATTGTGGGAAGGAAAAAAAACCTGTGAGAGTGTTCCAATATGAAAGCAAATGAAAGGGAATTTATTTTAAATCAACTGAAATAGTGTTAAATTTCTTGAACAGCCAAAGACGATCTAAGACAGAATATTAAAAAATCAGTGGGTAATTTGTATGAATATAAAAGAAGGTTGTTCAGAACAAAGGTTCTGAAGGTCAGACTTTGAGTACTTACAATCACACTCGGCTTCAGAGTACTACTTCGGCTAGCCACTGCTAATAGCGCTGTCTGGTGGTTGGCACGCCTGACTTCTCGACTGGGAATACCCCTCTGGGCCCGCGATGCCCTCGATGCGCGCGCACCCGCGTTGCAGCCTTCCCCCCCCCCCCTCCTTACGCCCCCCTACGTCCTCACACACAGCAGTGAGGTCCCGACACAGGGCCTACGGAGGCATTGGACCTGTTCAAACCTGTTGTGCCTGAGCCTGAGTGCTCATTGTTCTCAAAATGTTTCCCGTGACTTTCCATGAAATAGGAAATCTCAGTGAAGAAGATCGGCAGAAAGGTAAAGTGCCCCTTCATGCCATTTATATCGCCGGGCGCTTATCCTGTTCAAAACTGCGTGTGTACGACCGTGAAGTATTCTATGTTTTGCGCATGCTGGCTTGTTAAGGCTAGAGTGGCACGAGTTGACTACTATGTCATTTCAAAGTTTTTAACGGTTTATGCATTGTATCATTCACAAGTGTCTTTGGACCAGGGCTCCTCTATTTCTCTTGGTTCTAACTCAGTATATGCCACCCCATGCTCATGTTTGTTAGTGTCAAAATAGTTCAATCTGATTATTATCTTAGTTTGACTGAGTAATTACCATTTTTAATTTTTAGTTATTTTTGATTTTTACCTTGCAGCTTGTGAACAAATTCTTCAAAATTTGGGAAAGAATACTGAAGATGGCAGTAGCTGCCCCAAGCGGAGACGCCTTATGTCTCCACCAGATAGTGGTATCGGCTGTTCAAACTCATTGGATCATCCTCTTGAAGTAATGAAGACCTGTAATGAAGCTGCAGAAAGAGTGGTTCCTTAACTTGTATGTAGTGATTAATACAATCTTTATCTGAACAGACAACCGGGATCCCAAGTGGCATTATACTGGAAGTAAGGATGGAAAATTTTCTGTCTCATCAATCTATGGTTGTGTACTTAAATAAAGATATTAATTTTATCATTGGAGACAATGGGTCAGGGAAAAGTGCAATTTTGACTGCTATTATAGTCGCTCTGGGAGGAAATGCTACCTCAACGGGCCGTGGTATTGCATTAAAAGGTCTGAAATGGTTATCATGTTTAATACAATGACATTTTTACAGTAAGTTTTTCTCAATTGCTGCTAAATATTACTATCTCCTTTCAGATTTTATTCGACGTGGTAGCTCAGTTGCCAAAGTAATATGCATCATTTCCAACAGCCACGAACGTTGGTCTTTCAAAAGAGAAATTTATGGCCGGAAAATATTAATTGAAAGAACATTGTTGATGGAAGGAGCATCTCGTATTAAAATTAAGTCAGAATCAGGTAAGTGCCATAGCTCACAATTGAGTAACAGAAAAATGTATAGCCCCCTTTTGTTAATTTCTTTTATTTTTGAGAAGCTACCGCCCTTTCCTCTATTCTGTCATCTGTCCTGTGGAGTCTTTGGTTGCTCTGCTTCTTTTGATTTTCTTCCTGTTGTCATAGGAAAACTTGTCTCCACAAAAATGGAAGAATTGAGAGCTATGACTCTAAGACTTGGGATTCAAGTCACAAACCCCATAAGTGTTCTTGATCAGAATTCTGCAAGGCATTTTGTAAATGAGAGTAAGCCGGAAGTAAAATTTGAACTTTTCATGAAGGCAACAAGCTTGCAATCATTAAGCGATGTTATGACTGAAATAGATAGTGATCTAAAAAAAATTTCTCAGGAATTAAATGCAAAAGAAAGGGTAGGATTACCAATTATTTTTTTTTTCTTAACATTCTAGAATGTATTGTTGAGTTTCCAGTGCCTTACTTAAATATTCTCTGCTTTTTAGCAATTGAGAGAAAATAATAAAGAGCTTAATGAAGCTCAGGAAAAGTTAGAAAAACTTAATAGGCTTGAAGAGGATAGAAAAACCTCTTTGATTTTAAAAATGGAATTACTGTGGGCTCAGGTAAGCAAATGACAGAGTGTTTTCATTTTGGTGTTTTTGTTTTGTAATCAACATTGTGAACTAAAATAATTACATACTTTTAGGTCAGAGACTGCAAAAATTTACTGGAATCTGCTGAAAACAATCTAAAAATCACTCTTAAGAAGAAAGAAGAGGTCAGTAATTTTATATCTGGAAGGGAAATCACTGCTGATCCATTTCTTGATAAAATTGAGTATGTATTATTCTTCTTTGTTCCTGGCTGTATCTATAGGTCTAGCTAGATACATTGTTGTTATATGCAGTTTTAGTTATTGCTTATTATATCATCCCATGATAGGTCTTCCAAAAAAGTTGTAGCATCTCTTGACAATCAAAAGAAAGACATTGAAAATGAAAGGAGAAGTCTGCTTGTTTGCTGTAAAGCCCTCAAAAAAAGAGAGAAAGAGATTGTTGAAGATGAATACCAGTCAAAAGTTCAATTGGAAAAGTGTGAAAAGTTTATTTCAGAATACAAATCTGAAATTAAGTCTCAAGAGGAGAGGTAATGGGTCTTCTTATTCCAATGTTTCATTCTACTGCCTGTTTCTTTATTTTATCGGATTCTGCATTGTTAGAATGTTGCCAGAACATGCAAAGAGAAGACGTGAACAGGAAGAAGAGGTAAGTGAAATGCAGAGAAATGCAAAGCAGCTGTTGAAAAACTATGAATCCAAGAAAAGAGAGTTGCAAGACCTCCAGGCCAAAGCTAATGACCTCAGAACCAATCTTATAAAAGTTGATCGTATTCAAATAAGTAATGAGGTAGAATTAGGTAAGTTATGCAGTATGATGAAAACTGTTGTGTCATTAAAAAATAGTACATTATCGTTAATTGTTTCTGTGTGAAATCTTCAGATAGATTGACAAGGTTGCATGTAGGATACATGTCTGCTAAATCTTCCCTATCGCTATTTGGTCCATGTATGACTGAGCTTGTAAGAGCTATTAATAACACCAATGGATTTAAGGAGAAGCCATTGGGCCCTTTAGGTGATTACATGCATGTATGCCTATGCAACAGCAAGTGCACTTGTATTTTACTAAAATTCGGAAATATAAATTGTATTGTACTCAATTTTAATTTTTTGAAATCACTTTAGGTTCTTTTATAGAGTTAAATGATCCCAAATGGGCACTAGCTATCGAAAATGCTATTGGTTCCATTGGTTATGCGTTTGCTGTCACCAGTAAAGAAGATGAGAAACTACTGATGAGCTTGATAAAAAAAATATGTTTGTATGGTCCTAAAATACCTATTAGGCGATTACATATCGCCAGGAATGTAAGTTTTATGTGAGATGACTTCAAAGGCTCTATTGTGTTTTGGAGCTACTACTACTGTTCTTGCAAAATGACATTTGTTTTATTTCATTTTCAACAATATAAATTCTGTTTGTAAGATGACAGTGCCTCTCATACATTTTACTGCATACCACCTAGTCTAGTAAACACCAGAAACTCACCATGGACTCACTTGGAGTCATTTTCCCTTTTTGACTGTTTAATTGAGTCCCTTATGCCTCACTTTGACAGTTAAAAACTGAAAGTGTCTGAGAGTGAGTTTTTTGTGTTTATTGGTAAGAGGTGTTTATGCATTACTCTTTTTGTACAGAATGAATAGCAGTAGTAGCATATAAAACTTCTTTCATACCTATCCATTTTTTGTATGTTTTTTAGCCCATCGACACATCAAAAACTTGTGCACGGACACCTCAGTACGGCAACATTCTTGATATGATTACATTTCGAAATGCTAGAGCTGGCAATGTTTTAATTGAATTGTGTAACTTGGATACAACGTTACTAATTCCTTCTGGGGATGAGTGTTTCACACTGTTATCTAAAAGAGGGTCTGTGCCAAGAAATTGTAGAAGGGCGTACACCCTAGAGGGAGATTACTATAATCCGTCTCCCACATATGGAACTTACTACGGTCATCAGTCAACAGCCAAATACTTAAATTCTTGTGAAGATGTCATACGGTAAGACATATTTTATGATAAGTCATTTTCACCTTCTGATTTTGTGATAAGTAGATAAACTACCTAACCTTGCAGGCAAACCCAGTTTGAAATAAGTGAGACTGAAAAGACACTCAAGGCTACTGAAAAACAATGTTCAGCTCTCAGAGCTGAGCAAAATGTTCTGGATAGTCAGATCAAGCTTTATAATGCTGATACTAAAAAAATGTTGATTGCTTATGATCAAATTCAGGCAAAAATATTAAATTTGAGAGAAGAAACAATACCTGATGTACAAACAGTTGCTTTACTAAGAGATGAAATATCCGAAAAAGAGAAATACATGACTGATTTGAAAGTGAAAATGGATAAACTGCAAACTGAATTGCAAGTTCAACTACCAGAGAAACTCGGAAAATTGAAATCAGAAGATGATGAGTTGCAATTAAAATTGACAGAAATTAATTGCCAGCTAGAAAATTTGTTACATGAGCAAAATGCTTGGATTGATGCAAGGAAAGAACTGGAATCATCACTGCAGGATAAAAAGAACAATTTGGAAAAAATTGCTAAGGAAGAGGGCCAGTTGCGTTTAAAAGTGCAGGAGCTGGAAATTAAGCATACTAAAATGGAGACTGAGTCTAAAAAATATGAATCTCATGTTGTAGACCAATTTGTTGAGCAACTAGACAGATTTACAAGCAAGTTTAACACCAATAGGTAAAACTATGGAGGGATACCTTTACGTACCAAAATCTGAAGTAGATTATAATTTTAATCAATTAATTTTTTTTTTTGTATTTTTTTTTTTTTTGTATTTTGTCAGAGCGGTTAAAACAATTGATAACGAACTCTGTTCAATCAATAAACGAATTAGGCATTTTGAGAAAGCATTTGGCCAGTCTTCAGAAGAATTTGAACAAGATTACCATGAAAAAGTTTTGTCTTTTAATGTTTTGAAAGAACAGTTGGAACACTTAAGGATAAATGCTAAGGTATGTGTATGCTTTGTATTAATAGGTTGTCTTCAGCAATTGCAATTAGATATTATCAGTGTACTCAAAAAATACCTCTCTAACAAGTATACCATTGCCGTCATTATAAATTTCTTGATTACCAACACATTTAACTTATTCAACTTATCAATTGTTCAGTATTTCAAAACTTATATTTGTACAAATTATGAAGGCATTTGGTGACCCTCTAGGGCTGTACACTGACAAATAGTAGGTCCTGAAAGGCTCCTCATGGAAGCAGTAGATGTACAACCGCTAAGTTAAATTTGAAACGCGGAGCTGTTTGGTAAATTCGATATCTGAAATGAAGGTTGATGGTAATACTGGTTCTATTGGAGGGATAACTTGATTGGTTTTCAGTGTAACACCAAAGCTATCAGTTACAAGTTTCTTAAATTTGTGTTCTGTTTCAGACACTGCAGAAAGTATTAAATTTGAGAAAAAAAATATGTCATACAGTCAAAAATATAACTAGTGTAATAGTTTCTCACCAATTTGGCAGGGTCTTACTATCAAGAAATTGCTCTGTAAGTATTAAACATTTCTTAAAATTTTTAACCTTATGTTCAAAGTAACGGAAATTCTTCTAATCCATCATTTTTTCTTTATAGGGAAAAATTGTGGTGAATTTTCAAACAAAAACTTTGGAAATTATTGTTCATCCTATGGATGAAGGAGAAAGGGCAGGGAAAGGAACATCATCATTGTCTGGAGGAGAAAGGTCTTTTGCAACGGTTGCATTCATAATAGCATTGTGGAATGTGACAGACCTTCCGTTCTACTTCCTTGACGAATTTGACGTCTTTCTGGTACTATGCCTTTTCTAAAAGAATAGTATCAATTTTTGCTTTGTTTATTGCGCAACTGTGGGAGCCCCATTTTGATCTTTTCAAATTAAATCAAACTGTTTGCCCCATGCTCATACTAACTGTCAAATTAATTACTCTGCTCACCATCGCCTATCATTTTTCTGTTGTTCTAGGATCCACCAAGCCGTGTGCTTGCTCTTCAGCTTCTTCTGAAATTTGCAAAGCTGAAGCCAGGACATCAATTTGGCTTCATAACACCTCATACGCTTCCTGGAGTTTGTGACTCACCAGAAGTCACAATTTTTAGGTGTGTACACATCAATAACAATTTGGGGGAAGGACTTTTTTTTACTGAAATCTTAGTTATTTTAATTGGAATTTTTGTAGGCTTGCAGATCCTGTACGTCAATGATACATGTTATAAGATACATTTAGATATATGTGCATACATGCAGATCATCAGCAGTGACAAATTGAAATTGTGCATGTGAAGTTGCAACTGTTAAGTAAAGACAGTATTTGTCGTAATTTTATCACAAAATGTTTGATTTGAAATTTTATGCATGTTACTTTTGTTTTTAAAATCTAACTGATTACGTTTTATTATTTACATTTTTTACATAAAAGCTTATGTATGAAAATTAATGAGTCCTGTTGATTGACTTCCAAGCATAAAAACCATTTATTCTGTAATCGCCACTTTGCAAAAGCTGCTTTGTTTTGGGGGGGGGGGGAGCGAAATCACATACATGGGGCAGTTCCAGTCCCTTCAATCTACAGTCGTTTGTTGGTCTCGTTGAAACGTTGTGGGGTCGAATCCGGATGATCGTGGTTGTTTTCGGTTCACATATGTTTTTGGTTATTACTCGAAAGCCAAGTCACATCAACGGCTTTCTGAGCAACAATCAAAATCATGGCGAACATCTCGTGGTGCGGCGGAGGTGGCGACGGTGGCAGCCAGCAGCCAGTTGTAGGCACGCCGGGCCTCGCAAGCGGGAATACCTTGGAGTAGGTAGTATCCTGCAAAGTTCAGGTCCTGCTTTTTCCTACGGCACCGTGCGAAAGCAAGTCAAGGCATGCAAGGCAAAGCCCTGAAAACTTTTTTTAAAAAAAGAAAAAAAATTCAAAACAATAAAAATGTTTTTTTTTTTTTTTAAATTACTGGCGAAAACGTGACTCCGGACTCCGCACCGCAGCCTACGGCGGAGGCCGCACTCCATGCTAGAGGATGCTGGAGGCTGTCGCGTCCTTAGGAGGGGCGATAATGGAAATGATAAAGATTTCGTGTCACGGTACACGAGGAGGGAAAAGGGGAGGGGGGGGGGCAGACTGATTGCACGGCGTGCATCACGTCCCATTGCAGTC